CTCCCAGAATTCCCCAGCCAGCATGGGGAATTCTGGGAGTTGGTCCACACATCTTAAAGTCGATAAGGTTGAGAAATCCTGCTCTAGATGTTTACTTTCCAGCCCAGTCCTTCTTTATATAGATGTAATTGTAAGCTGTGTATTCTTTAAGGTAGACAAGTGGGCTAGACACAATGACATCATCAAGTGAGGCTTAAAGAAAATGTTGCAGTGTGAAATGTTCCTCTTTTGTATTCTAAGTTGCAGTTCTACATCTCCTTAATGGGGTCTAAGCTTCATTAAAGCAATCCAATTTACTTTTCAGGAGACGTTGCTTATAATTGCACTGCAAAGCTTACTCTCCTTCAATATGGTCCGTTCTTTTAACTTTTCAGTCCCACCCAATTCCATCCCCCAGAGAGTCAGCTTCCAGTGGCTAAGAAGTGGGCTCCATTTTTGTTTGCGGTTACCTGTTTCCAATTTCTTCTAAAACAACTTTGCACTCCTGAGAACTTCAGCATTGACCACTCAGCTCATACCTCTCTTCTGTGGATGAATTCTGCTGCTGCTATTTTGGCTACTAAAAACCCTATATTTGCATCTAGAGGGAGAATGATAAATTCTGCTGCTTTGAGCCATTGTTTTTAAAAGAGATTTTAAAAGATTTAAAAGTGGAAAAGCAGCATACAGTATAATTAAGTATGCCTATTCCCATTACTGTGAATTCTAGGCCTCCCTTAGGCATGAAACCGGCTGGGTGACTTTGGGCCAGTTCCTCTCTCTCAGCCCAACCCACCTCCCAAGGTGGTGGTTGTAGGCAAAATAGGAGGCAGGAGGATTAGGTATGTTCGCGGCCTTGAGATAGATAGATAAAAAAAGGCAGGATAAGATGATGATGATGATGATGATGATGATGATGATGATGCAGCTTTACTTGGAACACCTTATATCCTGTGATGACACCTTTAACACCATCAACAACAACATCTGCCTATCCCAGGTCCTTGGGAAGGACTTGATAGGTGAATAAAAATGCCAAATCCAGCCTAAAGATCTGGCTGACTGTGCCACCACCACCACCACCACCACCACCAC